CAATGGCAGTATTTAAAGAAACAAAAATGAAAGATGTAAAACTACACACGCAGATCCTACCAGCTTGCAGATATCTTAAAGTTGCTGGGGTCAGAGGGAAATCTAAGCCATCAGTAACAAAGCTTCTTGCTCAAGCATTTATTGACAAGGAATATGTAGTTGTTAATGAGTTAGAAAATTGCAACTTGGCCAATTTGACATTCAGCGATGTAACCGTGTCTTCTGATAAGGACATTGTATCAGATATAAAAGAGTGGCTGAAATAGGACTTTTCTTTTTAGTTCTTATTTGGACTACCAAGGAACAGTTAAGCCAAGGAAAACTAGGAGGAAGAAGAGGAAGTAGTGCATGTACGATTATCTCTATATTTCTTGCTGAATTGGCATCAAAATCTTGTAAGCTGTTACTGCCACATCATGGAAGGCTTTGTAATAAGTGGCATTCTGCTGTAGCAGAAGCGATTTCTGAAGGGAATAGTATATATATGATAGATATGTTGATAAACCGGGCATACTTCTTGATGTTCATGATGTGGGGGAAATATATGAAACAAGCCTAGAGAAACATATGCACATTTCAGAAACGAAACCTGTTTGGTTATCGCCTTCAACTGATCCTTTTTCATGCACTTTGGGTTTTAATCTTACTCAGTTTTCCCTGCAAAGAGGGCAACATTTTGCTGTTTTTATTTGCCATAAAAAGTCAGTCTTAATTGTAAGTGATGGCACTGGTAAAGTCTTGGTTATAGATACCCATTTCCATGCTGATACAAACAGTGGAACATATTTTATTTATGGGAAAGCAGATGAGGTTGCATTGTATTTCACCAAAAATTACCCAGGGAAAACAGTTGGTACTCTAACAGAAGTTTCATTTGTAGTTCTTGTAGACTGAAATTACTTGTGCATGCACCATTGATATAGTTTTCACAGGTTATTGGGCTTAAAATAGAAAAACAGCTGTCTGGCATTTTCCCTTGTCTTTTTGTTTATGGAAGATGGAAAAAAATCACCCACCAGTTATATTTTGAAACACTGCCGAAGAATGAATCCATATTTATGGCAAGGAGAAAAGAAAAAAAATCAAAGATCAGTTTAATTTGATGCTTCAGAGTTACTTTACTTGTCATAGCTCTGAAATTTTGTCTGCATTTTGGCTTAGTCATTGGCAGCCTACTATTTTGAGCCCAGCTGTTTGTTGTTTAAGTTGAATATTAACCCTACGTACATTAATGTACCACTGATCGATGGTGGTCCAGGAAAAGTACACTTTCAAATTAACATTGACATAAACTTGAAGTTGATTCATTTTTAAGAGTAAGCTGCATTGCAGACCAGAAATCTTAACTGGCAGGTACGTTTGAGTATTTGCCTATAATGTTGTGTTAAAACATATTGCAATAATATTGCACATATTAATTAACCTTATATATCATTCATTTTTGTGCATGCACTTGTACCAAAGTATAGTGATATGTAAGGAATGCATTGAGTTGATTTCTACATCTTGACAAAGTTGAATTATAGCTGGCTTTAGTAATACACACCATGTTCAGCCAGCTCCAGATCTTTCAACATCTATCTTTGGATAACTGCTTTGTGTGGTATGGAGTCAGTTGGCAGGTCATTGATCCTTAAGCATGGCAGATTTCTCAAATGTTTCTGATAGCAAATTTAGGACTCCACTATTGATCATGTATTCAGATTTATAATAAACTTCAAGACTATAGTTGTAAAATTTGTATTGTTTTATTGTCAACTGACTTCACATCACTGGCCTAGTTATACTTAGCATTTGACAGCCCTCATGATGCTTTTTCAACACTAGTTGATGCAGAAAGCCAATTATATATATATAAGCTACTTATTATTGCATTGTTATAAAATATATTGTTTTATTGTAATACTTTTAATGGCAACATATCTGCTTTGTACTGCATTGTCCTAATAAAATGGAAAGTTGGAGTTACATTACTTCTTGGCTTACACAGAGAGGGTTTCATCCTTATCTTGTAGACAAATCAATATGTATTAAAAACCTTCCTCAAACATACTGGAATTCTTATATATATTAAATTAGCTTGTCTCAGCTATTATTAGCGATGTAATATGTGAGAAGTTTGATGCGAAATCTTTTGTTTAAGGAAGGTTTATCTTACAATTATAAATTACTACTGTTGGTATAGCTTCAGTTCCAAGGAAGGCCTATTTGATGAAAATCAGAGCTCCCAATGGTGGAAGAGCTGAAAATATTCAAAAATTGGGAATTCAATAATCCCAAACAATTGTAGAAATTGGGACTAATATATTCTTGAATTCCCATTTCAAGTTATGTTTGGGTTTTAATTGGTAATTTTCAAATAACCCAACATAAAACAATTTGAATTCCCAATTTGGAAAGTGGAAATTGCTATAAATTCCCTTTTTGTTTCCCATGAAAATCCCATTTTTGAAGGCGATTCCCAATTCTGGGATATTGTAGAATACCCAAAAATGGGAATCTACAATACCCAACAAGATGGACATTGGGAACAGTCTCACATTCCCAATTTAGGCAATGTTTGGGTTTTTCTTGGGATTATTTTAGAAACCCATTAATATCCCATTTAATTACCAATATGGGAATCTGCCATTTTTTCCTGTGAAAACCATCTAAAACTACCTACGATCGACTAAGAGAGTTCTCTGAGTACCGCATTGATAGTTTGCTCCTCTGGAGACCTCTGTAATCAATTTCAATTTTTGGGACCGCTTCACACGTTTCGTACCGCTTTCTTGTACTGAATGAAAGTTCTCTTACTTCACATGAAAATGTAATTAACTGGGTGCCATTGTTAGACATTTGTTGATACATTTGTGCAATTTTGTCCTCTTTGACTCAAGTTGTCAATTGAAAAATGAGATCGACTGTAATTTAGTTTTCCATAAGGAAATTATAGGAACAATGATGGCCTTTGTAACTCCTATTTGTCGAGCACAATGATAGTCTGAATCATTCATCTACAGCTGGCCTCTTAAACCAGCCTACTATCTCCATCTCGAGCTAAGATAATATTTCTTTGATTTTTGGTGGTTTTAGATGGTTGCACTGAGGTAGTTTTAGGTGGTTGTACTGAGGTGGTTTTAGATGGTTGTACTGAGGTAGTTTTAGGTGGTTGTACTGAGGTGGTTTTTAGATGGTTGTACTAAGGTAGTTTTAGGTGGTTGTACTGAGGTGGTTTTTAGATGGTTGCAATTAGGTAGTTTTAGTTGGTTGTGCAGAGGTGGTTTTAGATGGTTGCACTGAGGTAGTTTTAGATGGTTTAAGATGGTTTGCTTGTAGATTGTTTAAGATGGTTTAAGATAATTTGGGGCCTGGTTACATAAAGGTGGGGGACCCTTGGTAGTTGAGGTAACCTGCCTACCTGTGGTTGAGAAATAGCCTGTGTTAATGTACAATCTTACAACCTCAGGAACTCTAGCAACCCCAGCAAGATACATTGACCCACCTTGGGATTTTTACATGGCAAATTGCCATCCCTGTTGGGAGACATTCTCCTAAGCAGGTCACCCTGCCTATCATGTAAACATGATCAAGATAAAGTAAGAGATTATATGGATAGGCAGGTTACCTCACCTAGGTGGAGTCCCCCAACCTTCATGTAAACAGGCCCCTAGGATGGTTTTAAGATGGTTTCAGTTGCTTGTACATGGCTTTAGATGGTTTTAGTTGGTTGTAGATGGTCTGAATCAGTTGTAGATCAGGTTTTAGTTGGTTGTGGATGGTTTGAGTTAGTTGCAGATGGTTTGAGGTGGTTGTAGATGGTTTGAGTTGGTTGTAGATGGCTTGAGTTGGTTGTAGATGGATACAGATGCTTCCAGATGGTTTCAAATGGTTACAGATCATTCTAGATGTTTTAAGAAGGTTATAAATGGTTCCAGATAGTTTAAGATGGTTCTGAATGGTTTTAGTAGATTCAAGATGGTTGCCAATTTTTTTTACATGGGTCAAATGATTTAAGATGGGTTTATATGGTTTTAGATGGTTTCAAATGGTTTAAGATTACTTTGGATCCTTTTAGTTTGTTTTCAGGTGTACATATTGGTTTTAGTTTGTGTTAAGGGGGTTTTTGGTCAGGCCATGCTTTAGTATTTCCCTTTCTTTGCACCTTATGTGTTTCCTACATAAGTTTTGTCTTATATATTAATACAGTAAAACCCAATTGAACTAAGTGTTTTGAATAAGGTACTACATACGAGGATGTTAATGCAGAAGGTCATATTCACAGTTGACTTCTGATAACTTTCAAATGTTATTCGAGCCAGCAACTAGCAAATGAAACAAAAGTCATTGGGGTGCTTTAGATTTACATGTTTTTTATTCATTTGCTATCGCTATTTTTTTCCTCTCTCTCTCTCTCTCCCTCCCCTCTCTCTGTGTCTCTCTATCTTTCAATTTGTTTTTATTTGTTATTTTGCATCTTTTTCAGTATTTTAAGATAGACAAAATTGATGTGGTATTTGTACCACACAATATAGATACAAAAAGAAATACTTTTAAAGAGATCTTGAAGAAGCTCAGAACTTTAATTTTATGGGACTGCATGCACAGACCTCTCCTCCCAGACTTTGCAAATTAGAGCATATAATAACAGTTTCCTTTTTTCAATAGCCTTTTTAGCTACTGTACAATGTCATCTAACTGTTTTAAGTCATATTAATGTGATAAAGTAACTGGAAAATATATTTTTCCAATTGAATAAAGAGAGAAAGTTTCTAAAGAACCTGTGGTGCTGCATTTGTGGGGAAATATAGCAAGAAAATTCTGTTTTATTTACTGAGTTGATAATATGAATTTACCATCATAAAGTGTTTCAAAGTTGACTTTTTGAGTGTCAGCCCTAAAGTAGCTGTGACTGCATGTGTGTTGTCAGTGACAGTTAGTTCAAAGTTTTCTTGTTTGTCAAACTGCTAAACCAGTTAGAATTTTACTTTTCTTGGTTTTTTTCTTTTAGTGTGAAACATTACTTTTTTTTCTGGTCAGCACTGGATAAACAACCACAATGCGAAGTGTAGTAGTGGTTCCAGAGTGCTTGATGGACACAAGAGGACAGAAAAGAAACTAGTGAGGAAACAAAGTGGCTTTAATGCTTTCACAAGGGAGTTTCTCCACAAAGGTAGTCATTCTTGATCTAGCTAAATTTGTGCTTTACATCTTACCTTTTAAGTTGAAAAATGCATCATGTCCTTTTATTCCACAGAACAAACTGGTGGAAGTGCAGAGGTCTTTCGCACCATCGGAGAAAAGTGGAGGAACTTGTCTGACTCAGATAGAGATGCCTACAAAAAGGTGGCAACAGATTCAGGGTCAGCTGTGTCACTACCCTCAGCTGATAAACAAGCCAAGAAGATAATTGGCAACATCATGAAACAGGTCAGCTAGTAATAATCATAGTCATTATCATCATCATTATTACAAACTTACAATGATATTTATCACATTTTGTGATGTGAACTTTGTGGTTTATAAATGACCAAGTTCAACTCACCAAGCTGTATAAAGACTGGATTGACAAGTTCTTGAAATGATATACCCAATACATTTACTGACCTTATGATTTTGTTTAATTTGTAAACTGGTCTTAAATTGTGCTATAATAGCAAACAAGCATTTCGTATTGAATTTTTCTGTTCGACATTGATTTTAATTGATCAGCATTAATTTATCAGTTTTCTTATTGTTACATTTATATTACTGGTAGATTGACTGTTGTCAAATAAAATTATGATATTTATCTGTGTGGATTGTAATTTAAGATATGCCAAAAATTTTCCCCTTTCTTATAATTTTACAGTTGGTCACCAGGTGTCTCAGCAAGCTCTTAATAAACAATGAAAGTTATTCTTAAACTTACTCATAATTACCTGTTTTAAATATCTTACTTTTTGGGTTTTTTCTTTTCCTTGATTTACACAACTTTCTAAGTATGCAAGCTCAGTAATTTTCATGTAATTAAATGTTTGTCACCATACACTCCCATCATGGAATACAACTTTAATCCAGCACTAAACAAACTGACATTGCTTAAGTAATGAGTATATATGTTATCACACTTATTTGGTTCTTCTAATTGTTACCAATCCTTATCAATGTTTTACACAGGTTGCAGAACTGGAAACACTTGGTGGTCATGCACTGATGTTATGTGCTTATGATGGTGTTTGTTACCAAGGTTCAGCTGGGATTGGTGACAGCCTTTTAAAAACAAACATCATGGAAACATTTGCAAGTAGATTACACTGTGAGTACTGACTGTAGATATGCATTAATTAGCACTTTACTCTTGATATATACTTTCAGAAGCTCATTCTAATTTTACTTGTAATGTTGAAATCTTTCTGCAAATTTTTGCGCTTGAGAATTTGTGAATTGGATTTTTCCATACATGAGTTGATGAAAAAAAGAAAAACAATTAGTAAAACCAATTACCTGTTAATTCCAATTTGCATTTCATTCCTGCACTCAAAACATAAACAGAACCTCAAAAAAAGTTATCGAGAGCAGTAGTCCCGGTACTCAATTTCTGTTACTCTAAGTGTACATCTATGTTCTTAAATATCAATATAATCTCAATATATTAAAACAATAAATGAATCTCAATGAAATTCACTACATTGATGCTTAGATCAACAACTTATTACACCAAGCATCTCGTTTCTTAAGAACTTAGAAAAGAAAGCATTATATTTCCAGTGAAAATAGGTCCTTAATTTATAGGTAATTCCCTGGTGGAAAAGCAAGACGTGTCAGTAAAACATCTACAAGAAGTGTTCAACTTCAAATACAGTATGCGTTTTTATAGCATATATTTGCCTTTATCCATGCACGTGCGGATTAAGGTCTTCGAAGATCTAGCTGATGTTCCTCCAAATTATTGAAAAATATCTTTGTTTTCTCTTTCCACTGAAATGGCCGCATTCAGTTTCAGTTGACCCATGATTGAAAACTACATCTCCATAAACTACTATTTGAAGCATTTAAGGGGTCAATAGCTGTTTTACACTCAGCTTCTGCCTTTTCTGTGATTTGTTGCAATACGAAAAAAAGTCAGTCTTCTTTCCCAATATAAATTTTATTTCTGCTTTTAATGTATTGATGTGGTAATTCCCTTTATCTATGGCTATGATTTCTGTATAAGTGTCATATTCAACGCAACAAGGAGTGACTTTTAGCTTCGTTTTTTTTTTCCAGTCAATTTCTGTCTTTGTCTTTTGTAGGTGAACTTGTCGGAAACAGAGGAAGTAAAATGCCTTACGCTAAGATACAGCAATTGGGAATTTCATTTAATAACCTTCCCTTGGATTTAAAGAAAGAGATTGGTGTTATTCCGCGTAAACCGTCTCTTTACGGAAGCGGCCAGCGCCGAAAGCTGTGGCTCGCCCGTCATGACTGGAGCTTTGGTATTTCTTTGCCTGTACCCTCCATGGATAGTTGCACGACCCCTTCAGCCACCACTCACACATCAACTTCTCCTACGCCCACTCCTTCCCTTGTTAATTCGTCGACCTCCTGTTAATTAGTACTCCCGGTTTAAGTTAAAAACCACTGCTATTCACAACCGTAACAATACCAACTCACAACAAACTAACTACTAATAGAACTTACAAAACACCTCAGTCGAAAAGATGAAATTTACACAATATACATTCTTCTTTCACTTTGACACAACCTCATCACACACAAGTTCTTTAAGTGTTTATCAGTCATCTGCAACCAAAGCCACAGTGAGTGTTGACCACTGTACTTCCCGCGCATCCATTGTTCTTGGTACTCCTTCCTAATCTCAACGCAGCACTTCCTCTGCTGCTGGTTTTATCGTTTCCAAAGGTGAGCAAGTTTTTGTGTCTAGTGCATTAGCACGCAGACACGATGGAAGAGCGTACGGAATTCGAAAAGCACTTTATATACGCCACATTTGAGCACGAAATATGATGTTTTACTCATAGTTTACCTTACGTGACGGATAACATGAAGTGTACACTGATTTTCAACCAGTGGAATGTGTAACCATGTCGATATTTTATCGTTATAATTTCGGAAACTGTCGGTTGACCAATTGGATTCAAGTAGAAAACCGCAAGGAAGAGTCGGGAGCAATTGAATTCGGGGACGAAAATATGACGATGACTCTGATCTTTGACCACCATGTGCTTTTACCCGTGCCTTGAGGAAAGGAGGAATTTCACACTTGTGGATCACACTTCGGAAAGTTGGTGAGTGTCCTTTTGCTCTTGTAAACTTTATGATGAACTTCTATAACGTTGGTTTCTCAGTATGCCACAGCTTTCGAAGTTTGAGTCAATGTGGTCGAGTAAAAGACTTTAAAGGATGTTTTCAAGTGTTCGATCGATGCTCTCCACGCCAACAGAATAGTCATGCTGCGGTGTTGTTTACGATGCGTAAAGGAAAGAACTTCAGCTTCGTGAGCTCCATTTGGGGAAAAGAAAAGGCCTTAAAGGCAAACATTGAGCCCCTTTTGGGGAAAATTGAGCCCCTTTTGGGGAAAATTGAGCCCCTTGTGGGGAAAATTGAGCCCCTTGTGGGGATTATTGAGCCTGCCCGTTTGGAGATTACACAAAATGTATATAGAAGAGCGAGAAACCTGACTGATGTTAAAGGAAAGACTCCTTTGACTGACGAAACATCTGCGAAAGCTGTGGTATATATGAACAGAAAAAGTTATGTTAGTAGCAGTATAAATGCGATTAAACGTAATTTAAGCGATTTCTCGAAAACAACTGATGTGGATATGTTGTGTTCACGTGGAACAGATGAAATTGATACACATTTCAAAATAGCTGACCAAAAACAAAAGAAACGACGTAGAAACCGAGAGCCGTCGAGGGTCTCGATGAAACGGATTGTGCAGTTTATGAAAAAAAGAAAAACAAGATATAAACTTAAGGTCATCATTAGGAAATATATTCCTAAGTCTTCAAGGTTATACAGCTTTGCTACTGACTATAAGTTGTGTTACATAATATATATTAAGAGATGTGACAGTTTTTTCACCAGCTTTGTTAATCTAAGCAAACCAATCGTAAATAAGCTTTTAAAGAAATCAAGCAGCCATTCTAGAAGATTTTCTGTATCAAGAATGAAGCTTATGACTTCAGGTGATATTGAATTAAATCCAGGCTCTCAACTACATGTAAATGTCAACACTGAAACTACAGTATCAGTTGGTTCCACCATATTGTTAAACTTTCGGTTACGTCACCTGGGATTGAGACCCCTAGATGTTGGGGGTGCTGGTGACTGTTTTTTTAGAGCTGTTTCTCATCAGTTATATGGTGATCCATGCCATCACTTGCAGCAGTAAAACATTATAATTCCAGAGCAGGGGAAAACTTTAATGAAGTTAAAATATTATTGCTTGCCCCTACTGGAAAAGCTGCTTATGGTATCAAAGGGAACACAGTACATAGTGCCTTGGCAATACCAGCATGCCAGTCTCTAAAGACATATAAACCTCTTGACTCAAGCAGACTAAATACCCTCAGATGTAAACTTCGTGCTGTTCAGCTTATATTTCTTGATGAAATATCAATGATAGGCAATACTATGTTAAATGTCCAAATAAATAATAGACTTAAGGATATCAAGGGTAGTAAAGAGGTATTTGGAGGTATTAGCATAATTGCATTGGGTGATTTGTTTCAACTAGAACCTGTTATGGACAGTTATGTGTTCAAAGATATGAAGAACTCAGATTATGGATCTCTTGCCCCCAATTTATGGCAAGAACATTTTACAATGTTTGAACTGGACGAAATTATGAGACAAAGGGAAAGTAGAGAATTTGCTCAAATTCTAAATAGATTGAGAGAAGGTAATCACACCCAAGATGATATTGCAAAACTGAAAGAAAGATGCATTTCAGAACACTGTATGAATTACCCAATTGATGTTCCTCATTTGTTCATTCAAAACTCAAAAGTTGACGAGTTTAATATTAGAGTTCACAGGGCAGCTACTGGTGACAAATATACCATCAAAGCATTGGATAGTGTTATAGGTGCAAATTCTCCAGAACTCAGAGATAAAATCTTCAAGCAAATACCACTGGATCCCAGGAAAACAAAGCAATTAGCTTCAAATCTTCAACTTGCTGAAGGGGAAAGAATAGAAATAGCCATAAATGTAAGAACTGATGATGGTATCACAAATGGTGCTGGCGGCATCATCAAGATGATAAAATTGTATGACACAAATATACCATCTGGTATAATTTGGGTTCAATTTGACTATGTGGATGTTGGTGAGAAAACCAGACATGACAACAGACATGTGTATGTCAATGGCATTGAATGCACGTGGACCCCCATCAAACCTGTTACTGCACAATTTGCAGTTGGAAGAAATAGAACAGCTCAAGTTGTAAGAAAGCAGTTTCCACTTAGACCTGCAGCAGCAAAAACAATACATAGATCACAGGGTGACACTGAAACTAGAATAGTTGTTAACTTTAACACCAGAAGAGCAATACCTCATGTACATTATGTAGGACTGAGCAGAGTAACAACCATTGAGGGATTGTATATTACTGACCTTTGTGAAAGCAAAATAGTTGTTAATCCTGAAGTAAAAGCAGAAATGCAACATTTAAGAAAAGACCGGCACCTCAAGCTTTCCATAATTCCAATTTATAAAACAGATCCAACAGCCTTTAAGATATGTTTTCTTAATTCAAGGTCATTGCATAGACATATTGAGGACATACAAAAAGACTTAAACTACTCAAACATGGATGTAAATGTATTCTCAGAAACACGGTTATGTTACTTAGACAGTGATACTGACTACAGCATCACTGGGTATACCCTATTTAGAAATGACAGTCAACTTGACGTTTTCAATACAAGACCTTATGGTGGAACTGCAGTGTACAGTAAAATTCCTTTTCTACCTGGATATCCAGTTTGCAACAACACTGGTGGTGTTGAAATAACTATCATTAAGGTTACAACAGTTCCACATATTACCATAATAGGCATATATCGGTCACCAAGAGTGCCAATTAGACAAATGTGTGTAGCATTGATCGGACTTCTTACCCTTGATATTTCAGGTTTCAAAGTTTTCATTGGCGATTTCAATATCAATTGGTTAAATGAAAAAGACAAGATTCCTCTTTATAATCTATTTATAAGAGATCACAGTTACAGACAACTGGTATCATGTTCTACTACTAATAACAGAACCACTATAGACCATGTCTACACTAATTTACCTGAATCACAAATCCATGTACACATTTTAGAAACTTATTTTTCTGATCACAAAGCAATCTGTGCATTGATTAAAAAATAGACCTTTATGGTTTTCTTGTCACCTTCACTGTAACTTCCATGTGTTTTTATTTTTGTCTTAAAGAGAATATTCATAGTTAATGAGTACAAAAAAATTAAATTAACTCAAATGTACACCTTAGATACCAATCATGCACTGTGATTGACATCTAAGGGGTAATCTGCAGATATGTGATATGCAACACATATCCAGGTATGTTTATTTTATGATTATTGCTTTTGTGCCCTGTAGTACATACAGATTGCAGTTTTCTTTGATACCTGTTCTACAACCCACAGTTACTGATACCATTTATTTCTCTTCGCTCTCCAGGTAGACACACCTCGGTTGTAATAGACAACAACAATGAACAACCTAACAGGATACATTCATAACGTATCCCCTGTTAAGCACTCCAACAAGACTCGCTATTTTGATATGCTTATTCAAACAGAAGCGACCAAAGTACGTGGAGTCTGTTTCTCTTCAAGCAAGCATCTTGACTTTGAAAGATGCAGCAAACAAAAGTCCCCAGTAAAGATTAGCAACTTCACTATTAAAAATGACAGTGTTCTCATTAATCTCAAAGCCAAAGTGGTCCACTTATCTGGAGTGAAGAAAATAATCACAAGAGATGGCACAAAGTCGAAAGCTGATTGTTGCCTCCTAGATCCATCTGGATCAATCAAACTAACCCTGTGGGAGGACCTGATTACAGAAGTTGCAGACAACAACACATATAACTTCTGTAACCTTAAAGTGACGAAGGATAATGACAACTACTCCATTTACCTTACTACACCAAAGCATGACTGTTCCATTTCACCAGCTGATCCTTTCCCAGAGGAAGTAGCTTCACCAGGTGATTTGCCAGACTACTTCACCCAAACATCAACAAATGCTGAAGTCCTTGGTGTTCAAAATTTCATGTGCTATCGCCAATGTTGCAAATGTAACAAAAAGCTTCCAGCAACACCAGGGAATGTAGTAAAATGTGAAACATGTGGCCTCAGGCAGAAAGTGTCAGCTTGCAGCAGTCAGTACCTCTTGCAGGCATTGCTGAGACATGATGACATTAACACCACTGTAACATTTTTTAATGATACTTGATACTTGGGAGGTTGCCGTTGGTCCGCACTTAGACCCATTTTGGAAAAATTTGGTCAGTTTCCAGATTTTTCTTATGATTTCAATGATATCGATATCAATGATATCGACATTGACTCGCACTTGGACTCATCTTGGCGATACTGCCAGTTTCCAGAACTCTGTTATGATTTTCATGGGATATTGCTGTTGATCAGCACTAAGACCCATTGGCGATATTGGCGAGTTTCC